CGGACTCAAGGGTCCTGGGTTCGATTCCGGTCAGGGGCATGTGCTTTGGTTGCGGGCACATCCCCAGTGGGGAGTGTGCGGGAGGCAACTGATCGATGTTTCTCTCTCATCGATGTTTCCAACTCTCTATCCCTCTCCCTTCCTCTCTGTAAAAAATCAATAAAATATATTTTAAAAAAAGTGTTAACTAATAATGGCCGTTGTCTTCTAATGATGGCGAAATAGTTCTGCTCATCTAGTTCTTCCAACTAATCAGTGACAAATAACTCCTGATAGCATAATTGGCTGTGATATAATCAGCTGACAATGATTCTGTAGATTTTTGTAGCATAGTTTGCAGAATATTTTCTATAACATCATGAGGCAGTGCCTATCTGTGAGCTTGTCATCATTATGTTCATTTTACAGATGAGAAAACCTGGACTTAGGGAAATAGGTTAACTTGACAAAGGTTTTACACGGTAAGTCAAGAGCCAAGACTATCAGCTGATGGGAAGGTAGAGAAGAAGGGGGGTAGGCAAGTGGCAGTGGGAGCTCCCAGTGCTCCTTGGAAGGGGTGCATTGTCTGTAGAGGATTTAAAATAAGAAAACCAAATAAAGGCAGTCTGCTTTTTATTATCACCACTAGAGGCCCAGTGCACAAAATTTGTGCACTGGTAGGGTCCCTAGAGGCTGCTGGCTGCCAGCTGGGGCCTCCCTCCCTTCCCCCGGCTGGCCCTGCCCCCTAATCAAACTCCTGGATGACCTCCCTGTCCAGGGGACAATTTGCATACTATGCTTTTATTATGTGGGATGAACCAGTCATTCTAAATAATGTCCATAATAAAGCACTCTTCCCTGCTGGGCACTGAGAATCTAGCCTTTTCTAGCCTCTGATGGGGACGTTCAGAGAGCAAGTGAGCCTCATTCCCAGTCACACAGAGAGTTCTCTCAGGACTTAAAGTGTTTCGTGCTCCAAGTCTCTGCCATTGTTAAAACACATACCTTTCCTTTGGGGATGCTCAGAGCCTTGCAGAATTATGCTTTCCCGGGAGAAATAACTGCCATTTGGCCAAATGTCGAGAAGCACCTCAGCCTACTTATCAGAATTTCCCAAGAATCTTCTGGAAGAGCAGCACCCATTCACTCCTTCAGCAAGATGCTCTGAGCATGATGGAAGCAGGAGCCATGGGTGCAGGGGGCTGGCAAGGAGAGGAAGGCACCTACCCATCCGGCTAGGGTTGTGGGCAACTTCTTTTGATGATGAGCTGGTAGAATTTGTGCCCGAGACCTGGGCCTCCTTGGAGCATACAGCTGACTTCCCTCTGGGCTTTCACTGGAAATAAATGTCCAGAATTCCCCCATCCTGACTGAGAAGGGCAGCTCCAAAACCACAAAGGCTAACAGTATTGGAGAGTCTTAGAGGCTAACAGCCCAGACCCGAGTTCCCTGGAACCTAGAGCTCCCGATAGAAACCGGGACATCTCAGGCAAATCAGGAGGGTGGGTCACCCCTTCTTCTAGGGCTGAGATTTCTTTTTCTTAAATATAATTTCATTGATTTCAGAGAGGAAGAGAGAGGGAGAGAAAGAAACATCAATGATGAGAGGGAATCATTGATTTGGCTGCCTCCTAAACACCCTCTAATGGGGATCGAGCCCACAACCCGGGCATGTGCCCTTGACCGGAATGGAACCTGGGACCCTTCAGTCCGGAGCCAGCCCCAGGGCAGACTCACAGGAGCTCCAGGAAGACCCTTGGGCGGAGTTTCTCAACAGCAGCACTTTGAATTGTATGCAGGGTAACTGGGGAGGAGGAGCGAGTGCACTGTAGCAAGTTTAATAGCATCTCTGGCCTCCACCCACTAGCTGCCAATAGCCCCACCCTGTTGTGACAATCAAAGATATTTTCAAATGCCCCCTGGGAGGGAAAGCAAAATTGCCCTCAGCTGAGAGCCGCTGCCCTAGAGAGATGTCATTTGCTACCTTCCCCAAGAATTCAGGACTGTTGGGCACAAATCAAGGCCAGTAGAGGGGTGTCCTGGCTTCAGGCTGGGCCCAGCTACCCCATTTGCCCACATGGTCACCTAATGGCTACTCCACCCCTTCCCCTCGAGAAGAAGCAGAGTTAGCCTGGTCGCTGGGGTCCCCTGGTAACAGTGCCACCTGGGCAGTTGCCCCTAAACAAGCTCTTCCCACTGGGCATTTCAAGGATCACCTCCTGTCCTATGAGATGCTCTGAGGGGAGATAAAAGGAGGCGGAAGAACAATGAATAGATGTCCATTCCCTAAGTGCATTCGATCGGAAGGATCTGAGAAATCTTGCAAGAAAGACACCTGTTTAAATGTTACAACCCAGACTTATGCCCAGGTCAGTAATGGCAAAACCTTTTGAGCTCGGCGTGTCAGCATTTTGAAAAACCCTAACTTAACTCTGGTGCCGTGTCACATATAGAAATTTTTTGATATTTGCAACCATAGTAAAACAAAGACTTATATTTTTGATATTTATTTTATATATTTAAATGCCATTTAACAAAGAAAAATCAACCAAAAAAATGAGTTCGCGTGTCACCTCTGACACGCATGTCATAGGTTCGCCATCACTGGACTAGGTCAACCTGTCCATGAAGATGGAAGCACAGGGCTCCATCTCTGGACTACGGGCTATTTGGAAACTCTGGCGCCCACCTTGGAATTTCTGAGCATGTCCGGAGGGCTTGCGATCTTGTAGTCACTTCTGGCTCTGAGTTCAGCCTCCAGCTGAATTGTCCAACTTATTCATATCGCCCCTCTTCCCACTTCCCCCTCATTTCTGCTCTGTGCGGACCAAGCTGTGGGTTTCAGTTGCCTTTGCATGATTTCCCCTTCCCCTGAACACCTGCTCCGGCACTGCAGAGGTTCATAGCCGAGGACGTCTTTCTGTGCTTTTAGCCCCCTGTTCCTTAGAAACTTTCCTCATTGTCTCCCTACCTTGTGATTCGTCCAACCCCCCCCCCCTCGCACCCAGCTCCCTTCTCCTCACTTTATTGTACACAATAACTTCGCTTTCCCTTCCTTGTTTGATCTCTTGGACCTACTTTTGCACTTTCGAAGCCTTGTCAGCAGGTGACTACATAATTTATCCTTCAAACTATGACACTTTTGAGAGTGAAAGGGGACCTAATATTTTGGGGGAACAACGGGCATCCACCAGGAAAGTCCCCAGAAAACCAGGGCGCATGATCACCATACATCTCTGCTACAACAAAGCCTCTCTATGCCGGGATATACCCTTTATCAACCCAGTAAACGTGGCAGAGGCTTGGAAATTGTCCCGTTTCCTTCCCACCTTCTCCCCTCGCCATCCCTATAAGAGGATGGAGTGAGGGGTGTGTTTTCTTATTGGTAATGGCTTCCATCAGCTCTGGCTGTAAGTGAAAGATGATTTATCTTTTCTCCATTACTCTGTTTATTATTTCCCAAACTTATTTGGTCATAGATCTCCTTTCCTCTCTCCATCCCAATGCCCATTAACATCTCCCAGAACTAGAAGAACACACTTTGGGGAACTTTGAGTCCAGAGGGAGGGAGGATTGTCTGTCTCCGCTGTCACTGAAATCGCTTGGGTGATGACAGGATTCGGGTGGAGTGGAGACCAGGAATCTAGCTTCTGTGAATGAGGGAGAAATCCGAGAGTGACAGAGAGTGGTACAAGCAAAGGCACGATCCCCAAAGGACCAGAGGGCTCTGTACTAATGTTCCACAGACAATGCTGTGAGAAACACTGCCTTGGATCACTGGTTCCCAAACTCTGGAGCTGATTTGCTGCACAGATCTCGTCTCCTATGCCCCCCACCCCCCATTCCAGGCACACGTATCTCCTTGCTGTTCTTGGACCATGTAAGGCTCACTCCACCTCAGGGCCTTCGCACCTGCTGCGCCTTCCACCTGAATGCTCTTCCCATGGATCCCCAGGTATCACTCTCTCACTTCCTTCCCTGACCATGACCTTCCCTGACCATCTAATAGCAACTCACTCCCACCTGGTAGGCCATACCTGCTAGGCCTGGCTTTAGTTTTTGCCATAGCACATGCCACCATCTGGCAGCCTATGTATTTGCCTGTTTATTTGTCCATTGCCCGTCTTCCCCTCCTAGACAGGAAGCTCCAGGAGGACAAAGATTTGTCTGTTGGATTCACTATTATAGTCCCAGAGTCTAGATCAGCCGTGGGCAAACTACGGCCCGCGGGCCGGATCCGGCCCGTTTGAAATGAATAAAACTAAAAAAAAAAAAAAAGACCATACCCTTTTATGTAATGATGTTTACTTTGAATTTATATTAGTTCACACAAACACTCCATCCATGCTTTTGTTCCGGCCCTCCGGTCCAGTTTAAGAACCCATTGTGGCCCTCGAGTCAAAAAGTTTGCCCACCCCTGGTCTAGATCATGGTGGTATTTAATAAAGGATTTAAATGAAGGGAAGCAGGAGTGGATCAATTGCAAAGTTTAGACATCTTCCAAAGTTCCCCTGGGAGCTGTGCCTGGTCAGTGGTGACATGTAGCCCAATTCCACCAGTTCCTCCTTCCCCAGCTCCTTTCCCAGGTGGGAGCTCATTCTTTGTGGGAGCTCACCAAGTCTCACTCCCTCAGTAAAGCAGCCCCCCACCCTTGGTATATTGTCCAGACACCCAGGAGTGTCAGCCATTCAGTCTCCACAGTCATGAGCATGCTCATAATGAACTCCTACAGGGTGCTAATTCCCTACAGGGCAGAGCAGGAGAGGCAAAATCCAGAAGCTGGGCCCTGAATAGCATGAACTCCCTTCTCAGCCCTAACCTCGGGAGGGGCAAGAGCTAGGAAGGACTCCCGTGTTGGCCTGTCCCTCTCAGGGACCTGGGGCTATGGGTAGTTGGGAAAGATATGTCCCTTGTCTTTTATGTCACTTCTTTCCCATAGAATTTTACTTTGTTTCCAATAAATAAGAAGAATACACATTTCCCTCCATCAGAATATGTTTTATGCATTTCTTAAGCGCGCACGCACACACACACACCTAATGCAAAAGCTGTATCAGGATCCAGCTGGGGCACAGATCTGACTCTCCACGCTGAAGCATCTCATTGGCTTCCCATCATCTGAATACAATGGAGGCATATTCCACTTGGTCTGGCGATGTCCTCCTGGAGCGATCAAAAGGGGGCATGTTGGCATAGACAGCGAAGTCATCCTCTTTGCAGGGGGCCAGGTGGATCACGTTGGAATATATGGCATCAGCGTGGCAGGAAAGGTCCTTTAGAGATAGGACCCCGTTAGAGTCAGGTGGCTGGGCACAAAGGACTTCCAGAGACAAGACTTACTACTGGGCTCCCTACGGGACAGGAAGTGGAACATTGGGTTCTTGCTGAACAAGCCCTAGATCCTGCTCAGTTTTCAAAAACATTCCTTTTAAAGCTGTTCTTTGCCTCACCCCCACTTCCATATGAGATCCATTTAGGAAAGAGCATGAAATCATGGAGGAGCTGACTGGGAGATGAAATCATCTAGATATGACTCAACTCTTTCCTTACCAAGGATTTGTGGAGAAAGTTGGTCTGATGCCTCAGTTGTTTCTTAAAAAGTCCTAGAAAAATTAATAAACTCAGAGTCAGCCTGAGCTGGAGCAGTAACTACCTTTACTTGATCAATTGCTGGACTTAGGGTTGAACTTTGAAGTTCAAAATCCACTATGTTCCACCCATTGTGCCTCTGAGACTGAGCTAAATGCCCAGAAAGAGAAAGAGGGAGTATTGGTACGCTATAATGTTGGTTATTATTTAGATGAGATTATTTGGCATCAACAGTTCTTTTAGTTGATGCGTATAAAAATAAGTATATATGCAGATTGGTTATATAGGGCTTTCAGCATAAGGAATTTGTATCATAAATAAATCTTATTGCTACATGCAGAATCCATGGCAACTCCAGAGAACAGACCCCAGAGCTTACCCACTCTTCCTCTTTCCCAAAGCTGCCCCACAGGAAAGACACCCCCATCTCCAGCCCCAGTTTCCCCCCTTTCCACATTTCCAGTTCTTGGGCCAACTCGTTGGACTCACTCTCACGCCTCCATTTCTTCAGGGCCAGGGACAAGAGACCCACTAGGAGCAAGATGAGGACCACGACACCAATGGAGCCAGAAACAACTTCTGCTGTGCTGAAGCTGAGGAGAGCAAATAAGAGAAAGGAGGACATCCCAGCTGCCCTGTCTGGCTTTGGTGGTGACCATTCACAAAATCGCCCTGGGGCCTCCCCTCTCCGGTAGGAGCTCTCCTACCTCTGGGCTTCCATCTGCTGCCTCCATTTTGAGCCTCTTTTCTCTGCCCCAGTCTCCCTGGCCATGGTCCCATTCACACCAGGCCAAGAAGACCCTTTCTCCAAAACCCTCAATACTCCCCCTTAGGGCCAGCCCTTCCTGCGCCCACCTGCTACGTCCTTCAGGTGTAGTCTCTGGCTTCAGGGTGGTGATGTTCTCTGCAAAAAGGGACAGGGAGGAAAAGAGAAGGAGATTTGAGAGTAATTTTTACACACACGCTCTATACTGAATGTTTGTGTCCTGCCAAAACCCATATTTTAAAACCCACTCCCTAATGTGATGGTTTTAGGAGGTGGGGGCCTTTTGGAGATGATTAGCTCATGAGGGTGTGGCTCTCACGAATGGATTAGTGCCCTTATAGAAGTGTCCCTGGAGAGCCCCCTCACCCCTCCTACCCATCAGGACACAGTGCAAGATAGCTGTCTAGGAACCAGGAATCGGGCTCTCACCAGACCGAATGTGCCAGTGCCTTGATCTTGAACTTACCAGCATCCAGAACTATGAGAGATAAATTTCTGTTGTTTATAAGTCACCCAGTCTACAGTAATTTGTTACAGCAGCTGGAACTAAGACAACACGCATGCAAATGAGCTGTACAGGATCTACGTCAGTGATGGCGAACCTATGACACGCGTGTCAGAGGTGACACGCGAACTCATTTTTTTGGTTGATTTTTCTTTGTTAAATGGCATTTAAATATATAAAATAAATATCAAAAATAGAAGTCTTTGTTTTACTATGGTTGCAAAGATAAAAAAATTTCTAGATGTGACACGGCACCAGAGTTAAGTTAGGGTTTTTCAAAATGCTGACACTCCGAGCTCAAAAGGTTCGCCATTACTGATCTACATGGATCTTTATTGGGGACTTAATAAATGCAGGGCACATTATTTCATTTAAACTTCAATGAGATAGGAACAATTATTATTCCCATCTTACAGTAAAGAAACAAGCTCAGGGTCATAGAGGTAGAAAGTGGCTGAGTTTGGACTTGAACTCCCTTCTCTCTGACTAAAATTGTGTCTTTAAGCACACGACACGGTGCTGCCTTTGTGTGATCATTTTACCCCTGAGTTCTATTATTCTTACAAAGGGTTCAAGGTTTCCGTATATGACAGGATGTCCAGAGAAAAGAAAACCAGGATGGTGGAGTTCTTTGGTGCCCTGGGAAGGGCATGTGAGGGGTGGGAAGGGTCAGGACATCAGCCAGTTGGACTGGACTAGGTAGAGGTGGCAGGGGTGAGAGCCTGTCCATGCTCTGGTGGTGGTGGGGTTCTATTATTCATACTTTGAAAAAAACTTCTCCTTCTTCAAGGGATGGAGACCCCAAACTCATCCCCTCTCCAGCCACATCTATCCCTGGATTTTTAGAGTTAGAAGGAATCTTAAAACATATCTAGCCAAACTCTCCTGCTGTACAGGTGAGGACACTTAGGGTAAGCCACTTGCCCCAGGTAAGTGCTGAATCCAGGACCTGAGTCCATGTTTTCAACTCCAACCCCAATGCTCTCTCCCCTCGCACTCAGGCCTCTTCCTGTTTCTTCCCCCAGAGCATGGAGCTGAATGATTCAACCCCTCAGAGCAGGCAGCACCTCTCCAAACCCATGTTTGGGGACCTGCTACTCAGACATCCAAAAGCCAAGATTGCTGCCAAGGTGGGGTGAAGGGAACCAAAGCAGTTTGACAGTTGTTCATGTAGAAAATAATACAACAGTTAATAAATAATCATACAAGAATAAACTGTTTCGAGTTCTAACAACTGTAAACCTACTTTTGCCCCACGGGATCCCTAGGGCAATCTGCCAAGAAATAGCCTTCAGGGGTGGGAGCAGCAAGAACCACAGCCTCCTGCGGCACCAAGGCCAAACGGCATTGTGTCAGGCACCCACTGGCGCACTTCCTCTCTGCCTCTTTCCTGTCCCCCTTCTGAGTAAGTTGGCTGACCTCACGACATTTCTCTTTGTCAGCTCCTGCCCACCTTCTGGGTGAGGGGTAGGGAGGGACCTTGGAAACCAGATCAACCCACTGCCCACAGCACTGACACCCAAGATGAGGTACCAAGTCACAGGGCTTGATGTGTGGGGGAGTGGGGTGGGGTGAGATGTCACATGTAAGTCTGGAGCAATGAGAGGGGAGCCTGGGGCACCAGCTGGGATTGACTGGGGTAGGGCACACCTGTTACCAGCAAGAAGGACAGACAGCATGAGGGTGTCTATCTGCGGACAGAAAGACAAGGACACATCCTGGGAGGGCAGGGGAGAGTCAGAGGGGGTGAGGGGAATAGCGTGGAGGATGATGTCATGAAAGAACCTGAGATTAGAGTCCAGTGACATGGATCATAGGCACTTCCTAACCGTGTGATCTTAGGACAGTCACTTAACCATTCTGAGCCTCGTTTTCTTCATCTGTGAGATGGACAGAGCATGAATACCTACATCGCAGGGTTCTTTAAGACCTAAATGTTCAAATTATTATTTAACAGTAAGTAATAGCCACTTTGCCCATTTTCAGCTGGTCTTACCCAAGCAGAGCAATGCTGTGAGGTTATCCAGGGAGGCGTTGCTGCCTCTGGAGTCCTGGAACCTAGAGTTGGTCCAATTCATTTCGACAAGATTCCACTCAGGGGGTTCTCGTCCCAGGTCCTGAGGCTCCTGGGACAGGTGGTTCCCTTTCACTGGAAGCAGAATTCCTCAGAGGTGTTTTGCAGCAGTTGGCAGACACAGGACCCCAAGAAACTGGCACCCCTCTTTTCCTTCATCTCTATTTCTTCACAGGAACCTGTTGGATGGGGACAATGTTAGCATCTCACCACTGGAGGGGAGGGCCTCCAAAGGCATTGAGATAGCATCCTCGCTCAAGGAAGGCATCTTCAGCTAGGCCAGCGGTTCTCAACCTGTGGGTCGCGACCCCTTTGGTGGTCGAACGACCCTTTCACAGGGGTCGCCTAAGACCATCCTGCATATCAGATATTTACATTACGATTCATAACAGTAGCAACATTACAGTTATGAAGTAGCAACGAAAATAATTTTATGGTTGGGTCACAACATGAGGAACTGTATTTAAAGGGCCAGAAGGTTGAGAACCACTGAGCTAGGCCTTGCCGAAGCACGTGGTCTAAAGTCACCCCCCACCCTCCACCTCTCTGCCAGATGACCCTCTGATCTATTAGTATATGAATACACCTCGATCATTTGTTCGTTTACTTTATTATTGTCAGACTCTCTTCACAAGAATGTAAGTTCCACAAGAACGGTGCCTATCTGTTTAAGTCATCACTCTATCCCAGGGCCTAGAACAGTGCCTCATGCCATGAATAGGTTTGATATATGTGTGTTGGATAAATGAATGAATGAATGAATGCCAAAAACTCCTTTACAGCACCCTGACAGGGGCCACTCAACCTCTGTTAGATCATGGCGAACCTCCTCCACAGACTTTTGAATCCCTTAGTTGTGGGCAAATCTTTACCCCTGCAGGAGAAGTTGATTAGAAACAGCCCAAAGTCACTCTGAACCAACCAAATTTTATAATAATGTAGGAAAATTGACCCGGGCAACACCAATTCTGGAGAAAGAGGAGCTGTGCCTACCAAACACCTAGAGCAATGTCCTGGAGGAGCCTGGAGGAGGTGCCCTGCCTGGGGGTGTGGGTGGCCTGGGAAAGAGAGTGGGAAAGATGCAGACCCAAGCCTTACAGCCTGCCATGGCCTGCAGCCTCCACTTCAGGTGGGAGGCAAGGAGAGAGTTGTATTTGAGATCAAATGAAAGAGTATCTGGCACTCTCTGGTCCCCAACTCCCTACCTCACCCCCCAAAGAGATCTGGGGGAGCAGTGGGAAATCCCCCCTGACAGGAGCCCTGCTGGCGTGATAACTCACTCAGCCTACCTGGACCCAGTTTCCCCATTTGTGAAGCGAGGAGAGAGTGAGAAGAAGAAGAAGGCACGATGACAAACATGACTGGTTCTTTTCCCAAATGCACCTCATTGCCTCCTTCTAGTGTCCCCTTTGCACTGGCCACCTTATCCATCGTACATTCCTCCGAATAATCCTACTATTCCTCAAGGAATACGAAGAACACTTTTGGGGATGATCAGGGTTAGGAATTGTTTTTATTTTTAATTTTGGAAGGAGAAGGGGATATCATAATTTTTTTCAGTTTGGGGCTTCTACAAGTTTTTGTTTTTTTCGGTAACATTCCTATCGTTCAGAAATGTAAAAGGTATGAAATGATAGAGGCTTTCCCACCCTTCACGCCATCCAGCCAGTTCCCCTCTCTGAAAGCAATCGCATTTCCAATTTATGTATGCCTTATGCCTACATGAGCAAACACAGACACACAGAGACATATGGACACACACACGGCACTTGGAACATGCAGTTCTCTCCCCCTGAATGAACATCTGAAACCATTGATAAAAGAAGAAGCGCTGGGCACCTGAACATGAAAGGGAGCTGTCACCATGGATGGTGGCAAGGAGGAGGGGCAGAACCCTGGGAACCCAGGGGCCAAGAAAGACAGTTCACAAACTGGACTTCAAGAGCCCTGTGTGGACCAAGATCACGTCTGATGTGACTTATCTTCCCAGCACGCAGGCCAGTGCCTGGAACGTAGCAGGCCACAGTAACTGCTTCATGAGTGAATGAAAGATTAGATCCCCTTTTCCCCAGGCTGGCCACACAGACGCACGCACGGCTGTAATCAAGCAGGGCCATCAGGAGTGGAGGGGAGGGAGATGTTTAAGTAAGCTTCCTCCTCGCTTCCTCTGAAGTAAATATTCTCACCGTTTCTGGGACTTTAAATGTTTTTCTGGTTGTTTTTGCGAAATGTCATTTCTCAAAATAGAAACACTGTGTTTAGAAACCTCTTGAGGTATATAATGGAGTCATTGACTGGCTAGAGGTTGCTTTAAAGAGCACCTTATGTTTTCAGTTTTCACGGTGGCTTCTTTGCCTCAACCAGCTGCCTTCACATTCGGCGTCCTAAGGAAAGCAGATCGTCCGCCTCTTGGGCTCCTTCAGAAGAGATCACCGGTGGACAAGTGACCCTAACAACTGTCCACAGGTGACTTCACAGGAACGGACCCCAATTTCAGCAGAATTACTGCACGTATACCTCATTCGGTTTGGAAAACATAATACAATTTTTTAAGAAAGCATATTTTGCCTTGGCCGGTTTGGCTCAATGGTTGGTTAGAGCATCGGCCTGCGACCGAGGGTCGAGGGTTCAATTCCCGGTCAAAGAGACATACTTGGGTTGCAGGTCTGATCCCGGGCCCTGGTCAGGGCACATGCAGGAGGCAACCAATTGATGTGTCTCTCTCACATCAATGTCTCTCTCTCCACTCCTCACATCAATGTCTCTCTCTCCACTCCCCCCTTCCCTTCCACTCTCATACTATCTCCTAATTTCATTCACTGCTTAGAACTGGGGACGTCTCCTGTGGCCTCCAGGTAGCAGTCGGAAGGGTTAGGTGTACTTAGCCCCATTTGTAGATGAGGCGACTGAGACTTCCTAGAGCATTTTGAAAAACCCTAACGTAACTCTGGTGCCGTGTCACATATAGAAATTTTTTGATCTTTGCAACCATAGTAAAACAATTTGGTATTTGCAACCATAGTAAAACAAAGATTTATATTTTTGATATTTATTTTCTATATTTAAATGCCATTTAACAAAGTGTCCCCTCTGACACGCATGTCATAGGTTCGCCATCACTGTCCTAGGGAGTGGTGAGTGAATTGCCCAAAATCACAGCAAATAGCGTGAGGACACAGACACAGGTCTCATGATCCCTTAGACCAGCGGTTCTCAACCTTCCTAATGCCATGACCCTTTAATACAGTTCCTCATGTTGTGGTGACCCCCAATTTCATTGTTACAAATTGAACATAATTAAAGCATAGTGATTAATCACCAAAACAATATGTAATTATATATGTGTTTTCGATGGTCTTAGGCGACCCCTGTGAAGGGGTCGTTCGACCGCCAAAGGGGTCGCGACCCACAGGTTGAGAACCGCTGCCTTAGACTTTCCTCCATTTCCTATGCATGTACTCAGGAGCACTTTGTAGCGATAAGGGCCGCATCAATGTTTGGAATAGCCAAGGAGGTTGTTTAAAATGTCAGTAAACAAATTTCCTGACAGGGAAAATCTTTACACCATATTGTCGATCAACAAGAGGCAGGTAACGACAGAATGTCAGTGATCAGAGGCAATGAAATTGCCCAAAGGCACCCTGGGCACAACTGAAGCTGCCTGCGAACCCAGAAGAAAAAAAAAAATCACATGAGAGTAAAACTTCTTTTTCCCATCCTAAATGCTCCCTTCTATTTGCAGAACATTCATTCTTGCGTCTAACAAATCTCACAATTTGTCTTGCTGCTCTGACCTCTTTCTAGTGACATTTGCTACTTGGAATGTAGGTCAGTGAAGCAGCTTTGCAGGAACCTGTCCTTTTGCCATGACTCTGTTTTGATACGTTACGTGATGGGCAAGGGTGAGACTGTCTCCACTTTCCTGGGATTCTATTTTAAAACACATGTCAGTCCATGTCACCTTAATCCCGTGCACCCCGAGCCTGAGCCTCGTTACAGTCACTTTGTATTTAGCAACGCCCTGTGCAGAGTAGATATTAAATGGATATAGGTATAAAGTGAGAGGGACCAGGGCAAAGAAAGAGCCTGCCAGAGCCCACTGCCTGGAGCAAAGACTTGGGGTTCTAGTCCCGGCTGCTCCTGCCGTTCTCTCTCCTGTCTGCCCTGCTCCCTCCTCACCGCTGGACATTCCAGCCAGTTTTCCTTGGACTTTTTATGCCATTTGTAGGATGTGGCGGGCTGGCACGGCCATGGCATACTCAGCCCCAGATTGGGCGCCTATGTGCCGTGCCAGCTCAGCCAGGTTCAGTGAGCCCGAGTGGGGGCGGTGAAGGATTGAGAAAAGACAGAGAAGAGAATGAAAGCTGGGTCTCGGTGGGACGCTGCCCTCTCTGATGGAGAGACAGCGCCACGGACTACAAGCCGTGTCTTTATTTTATAGCAGATTCCAAGAGGCAAAGTAAGGGCGTGGTCAAGATGTTTACAACAGTCTCATGGGTTTCGAATCTACTCAATTACATGCATCTGAACTCTATCAAGCCCACATCACTCAGGCACGTGGGGCCACGTGTTTGGACCATAGGTTCAAGCTTACAACTACAGCTGTTGATATAATTGTGCTGGGAGGGCTCTGCCCTCCAAGCTGGGACTTGCACGTGGCCGTGAGAGGACTGTGCCCTCTCATTAGTCCGAGACTTGAACCTGTGCAAACACTGTAGCCGTTCTCCACAGTAGGAAGGACTTGCTGGATCATCCAGATGTTGGCATCCAACATCCACCATGGTCCTCTGACACCTTCTGCCCAGGCCCTTCAGTTCCATTGGCTGCAGTGAAAGTGCTCCCCCTTCCAGGGCTCTCCTCTCCCCACTCCCTCCCTCATCTTCATTTCCCTGCTGGCACATCCTGGGGCAGAACGGCCAGCCCTGCTCCCTCAGGAGCCTTAGGTCCATCAGGGATGGTGCCTTGCCCTTAGGAAGGGATGTTTGCCATTGTCTCCGATGGTTCTGTTGACCCCTGGATGGGCACGTGTGCGCCCCTCCTTTCCTGGAAGCTTCAGGGGACACAGGGCCCTTCCAGATGCTTCAGGACCAATCAGAGTGGCAAGTGAGCAAAGAGCTGGCTCCTCAGCACGTCCTGTTTATTCAGCACTTATTGAGTGCCTACTGTGTGCTCCCTGCCTTGAAGGGCTCTTGACCCAGTTAAAAGTGCACATGAATTTGCCTCAGCGGTTTCTGAAAGTGCCACACTGCTCCCTGGGGTGATGACATGTCCTTACAGCCGTGTTCAGATTAAGGTCACGTTTGCCTTTGTTTTTTCCGATGTAGCCCCCGTTTCTGGAGGCCATGGTCTTTTAGGCGGGTTTAGAGCTTTTTTAGCAAAACATAAAAACATCTTTATCTTGTTCTTCCCCTCAGAGCTGCTGCCTGCAAGGTTAGGTTACCCTCCAATGGTTTTTCTCTTATGGATTTTCACAGAAAAAAAAAATTAATTGGAAGGTAACACAAATACCTTGATAACTCCATTGTGAACATGTTGAAAGACCTTTAAAATAGTTTGTTTTCTAGAAGTATCTTAATAGGACTTTTGTTCATATAAAATGTTTCCCTCCTTTTTTTTTTTTTTTCAGCTACGCAGTGCTAGTTTAGGCAAGTCTCCTGAATAGTTAGTCCTCGTTAAACAATAGGCACTCACTGCTAATAAGCACACTTTAAAAAAGGGTTTCAAATCCTTACTTACAGTTCTTTCTGTCCCTTTTCCCCACCCCACCTTGAACCAAAGAGCCAAGGTTCAAAGGGATTTAGATAAAGGATGTAGTCCCTGCCTCCTTTTTCTAAACATCAAGGCGGCAGCAAAGACTAGCAGTGAATTAATTTATGGCTCTGCCAAGTTGGACAGATAAAAATCACCATTCACTCTGAAGTTCATTTAGAAGCACTAACTACTGGAGGACACTTAAATTCACACTCCAGAAACTGAGAACAAGAAATGGCAACTCGTTTGGAAAATTAATCTTTATAGGCCTTCTTAGCAGCAATTAGCGGGCACTGAATGGAGAGGCTTGAGTGAGGCCCGAGTTTGGGGAGGGGTGTGGGACTTAGGGCGCTAAACTGCCTGTCGGCTAATCAGAGCCGCAGCTGCAGGAGCCTCAGGCTGGACTTCAGGTTTCTATACATTCAGCTTTGAAAAGGGGAGAGGCTGTCAGGGCCTTAAAGAGGCTCTTGGGGGGGAGGGGGGCACTTTGATGCTGCTCTTATAAAAGGGCTTTTCAGGGGCATTAACAAGTGGGCTTATGAAGAGACCGGGCATTCCTCTTGGATCTGCTAACCAGATAATGAGGATTTCTAGTCATTAGAGCAATGACACCAGATGGAAATTCCCAGAACAGGCACCATCTGAAACCGAGAGCGGGCACCAAACACCTCCTAAATCCTGCAAAGTGAACTTGAGGTTTCCTGCCCACGACATGATGTGAACTCCCTTCTCTGGAATTCCATTTTCAGCACATTCAACAGAAATGGGGACATGAGGAAATAACAGTTTCTGGAGGTGTTGAAAAAAAATTTCCTCTAATTCCAGGTGAAGCCCGTTAGGGATTCAGCAACAAGGGCAGCTTCCTTCTGTTTCGCCAGCCAGCAGGTTTGGGATCGAAGTTGTAAAGGTCCTCTTTGTTTTATGAAGGCGAAAGCTACTGGTCCTGGCTAACCTAGGGGCCATGCCAGGACTAGCATGCAAACAGCTGTTCTGAGACCCGGCCCTGGGCTCAATCTTCCCACAACCTAGAAATCTGTGATAAAGAATAAATCGCCCGGGTCTCCTTAATGAGCCCCTTCTGTGTGCAGACATAGCAGGACCTACACATAAGTGGGGACCCCTGGGGACTCATTTCAAATGATGCAAAAATGAAGTCACATGCAGCTGATGGGGGAAACTTGCCCCTTAGCCAGGCACACCAGGGTTCAAGTTCTGCACCTCTTCCTAGACCGGTGATCTTGGGTAAGTTATTAAAGCTCTCTGAGCCTCAATTTCTTTATCTAAAAAAAGTAAACCATGCCTGCCTCACAGAGCTGTCATGAAACTAAATTTAAAGGAGATGACATTTACAAAGCTGGTGGCCCTGGTGCTTAATAAAAGTTGGTCCCCTCCTACTTGCTGCCACCTGAATTCCTTTATCTGAGAACAAATTTGATTATAGATTAATGGCATGAGCAACACCTTGGCTAAGGTGTAATCAGTGACTCAACAAACATGAAACACACAGGAGACTCTACTCTGGCCAATAAGAGATTCTGATGGTTTTAAATGCTTAGGGAGAAGGGCATGGCTAGTCTGATTAGACGTGAGGGAAGTGAGAGAGGGTGGGAGAAGGGAGGCCAGAGCGGTACAGACCAGAGATGTTCACTAGAAATATAATGCACGCCACAGTTCTCATTCAAAATGTCCCAGGAGCCACATTTGAAAGTAAAGAAACATGTAACATTAATAATAGATTTTATTTAACCCAATATATCCAAAATATGATTATTTCAATTTGTACTAATATAAAAATTACTAGTCAGCTACTTTATGTTCTTTTTTCCTACTAAGTCTTTGAAATCAGTATATATTTACACCTACAGCACATCTCAATTCAACCAGTCACATTTCAAGCGTTCACAGTGCTGGGCCACACAGGTATACCGTAGACAAATCCCTAGGTGCCAACCACTGTGCCAGGTTTTGGGGGACCAAAAAGTCTAGACTAGAGCATGGTTCCTGTCCTCAAGATGCTCACTGTCTAGTTTGGGGTCTAGGACAGATGGGGGGAGTTTTATCCAACAACATACATTTGCCTGTAGTTTCCCAAACTAGATACCATAAGACACTAAACCTGTAGCTCAATCCTTTTCCTATTATAAGCCTTCGACACCCCCCAACCACGGGGAAATCTTCCTTCGCATCATCTGCATAAACCATGGTCACATTGTGCCTCTGACCTGGAAGTTGGGCTGGACAGCACCCTAGGAAGCAGTCTGAGGGAAGGAGGTACCTTGTCCTCTCATTCCTTCAGGCCACAGAGAGCCCACGTTATGCTGGGTGGGCCCCGATTCCAGACCAGTTGCCAAGAAACAGAAAGCGAAGTGTCAGCCCTAACGGAACCGGTTACCTGTCTCCTGGGCAAGCGGCAGCAGCAGAAGGAGCCATCCATGGTGAAGACGCAGCTGCTCTCCCTGAGGGCCGCACCCCACCCTACCCAGTCTTCTTTCCCTCGCCCCTCCCTTGAGAGCCTCTTCATTTCCTCCACTGCCTGGCTGGGCTCAGAGGGAGACTCAGCCCGACGTGAAAAGCCAATGGCTGATGCTGCTTGCAGAGCAATCTTTGCCGTGCAGGCGTGGGCCTCAGCAAAACCACAAGTTGAGATTTGCTTTAGATTCCTTAGCAGTTTTTGGAAATTCTTTTTCCTTTCCTGCAGCTCACCCCTGTGCCCACCCTAAGGTCCTTCCTTTGCTATTTCTGCTGACGAACAAATTCATATTAAGGAGTTAATGACTCAGTGGGCCATCTTTCACGAAGATATTTGCATTTTTAAAGATAAAATAATAATCAAAAGAATGCCTGCCTGCCTGGCTGGTGGCCAGTGTAGCTCAGCAGTTGAGCATCGACCCAGGAAGCAAGAGGCCGCAGGTTCAATTCCCCGTCAGGGCTGTCCCTGGGTTGCGGGCTCGATCCCCTGTAGTGGGTGTGCAGGAGGCAGCCGATTGACTGTTTCTCATCGATGTTTATATCTTTCTATCCCTCCCCTTCCTCTCTCTCTAAAAAATTAATAAAAACGTATTTTAAAAAAAGAATGCCTAATATTTATTGAGTGCTTACTAGGTGCTAGGCACTGTGCTAAGAGGGTAAGGCCTCACTCTAGGGCAGGGGTCCTCAAACTTTTTAAACAGGGGGCCAGTTCACTGTCCCTCAGACCGTTGGAGGGTTGGACTATAGTTTTAAAAAAAACTATGAACAAATTCCTATGCACACTGCACATATCTTATTTTGAAGTAAAAAAACAAAACGGGAACAAATACAATATTTGTATTTACATGTGGCCCGTGGGCCATAGTTTGAGGACCCCTGCTCTAGGGTATGACTGGACAATGATGGAGTTTCAAGCATATGACACCAGGTGAAAGAGAGGTGCTTTTAAAATCATACTTAGTATATAACTTGAAGGCATCCCTATGTATGGGGAAAGTTGTCAGTGGAGGATATAGGAGGCCTGCACTATTTTTATTTATTTATTTACTAGAGGCCCGGTGCACAAAATTTGTGCACAGGGGGTGGGGGAGTTGTGTCCCTCAGCCCAGCCTGCACCCTCTCCAATCTGGGACATCCCTCTCACAATCCAGGACTGCTGGCTCCCAACTGTTCGCCTGCCTGCCTGCCTGATTGCTCCTAACTGCTTCTGCCTGCCAGCCTGATTGACACCTAACTGCTCCCCTGCTGGCCTGATTGTCCCCAACTGCCCTCCACTGCCAGCCTGATTGCCCCTAACTGCCCTTCCCTGCCAGCCTGGTCCCCCCCAACTTCCCTCCCTTTCCAGCCTGGTCACCCCTAACTGCCCTCCCCTGCTGGCCATCTTGTGTCCACATGGGGGCGGCCATCTTGTGTGTTGGTGTGATGGTCAATTTGCATATTGCCTCTTTATTATATAGGATTTATTTTGGTAAATTATAGAGCCATCATCTTTATTGGGGGTGGTGGTACAGGATTGTTTGTTTCATTCATTCACTCATTCATTCAACAAGGATTTGTCGAGTGCTACTCTGAGTCAGGCATGGTCAGTGCTGGGGATCCGGCCATGATCCCAAATGCCAGAGCTCTGCTCTGAGAGCTCACAGTGTAGTGAGGGGAGACAGATAGCAAAACAGTAAGAGAGAATTCCAGATGTGCTCATCCTGCAAACAAAATGGACAAGGGAGCGTGATCCAGAAAAACTGGGAAGTGGGGTAGAGGCTCCTTAGATCTAGGCTGCTGGGGGAGGCCTCCTGGAGGAGGTGACATGGTTGCCTGCATCCCACCAAGCTCTTCTGTGGCCTCCTCTGCTCATTCTTCCTCCTTCACCCACCTGTGGGCTTTGGAGCCCAGCCCTGGGACTTCTCCTCTTCTACACCCGTGCACACTCCCTCGGTGCTCTTGGCCAGTATCCTTGTTTTATCTATATGCTGAGATCTCCCAAATGTATATCTCCAGTCCCAGTAAGACCCACAGATTCAAGTGCCAATCTGATATCACCCCTGGGAAGTCCACCAGATCTCAAAATTAACAGACCTCGGTTCTCCACCTCCCGCAACCTGTTTTTGCTCCCCGATCCCATACTCAATAAGCCATACCACTCTGTACCCAATAGCTCAAACCAAAGTTATTATCATTATTTTGTATTTTTAAATTTTTTTGAATGGGTAATTGTGGCAGGCAGGATAGCCCCCATAGAGGCCCATATCCTAATCGCTGGAATCTGTGGCTATGTTACTTACATGGCTAAAAGGATTTTGCACACAATATTAAATGAAGGACCTCGAGATCTGCAGAGGACCCTATATTAACTGGGTGGGTCACATCTGATCACAGGCATCCTTAAAAGCAGATAACCTTTCCAGAGTGTGGTCAGAGGGACATGGGACTTTGGGAGGATGTTCAGAGACATGCAACATTTCTGGACTTAAAGACAGAGGAAGCGGCCATGAGCCAAGGAATGGTTGGCAGCCCCTCGAAGTTAGAAAAAGCAAAGCAACAGACCTTCCTGTAGAACAGTGATTCCCAAAGTGGGCGCTACCGCCCCCTGGTGGGCGCTGCAGCGATCCAGGGGGGCAGTGATGGCCACAGGTGCATTTGTTTTTTTTTTTTGTGTTTTTTTTTAATATATTTTATTCATTTTTTACAGAGAGGAAGGGAGAGAGATAGAGAGTTAGAAGCATCGATGAGAGAGAAACATCGATCAGCTGCCTCCTGCACATCTCCTACTGGGGATGTGACCGCAACCCAGGTACATGCCCTTGACCGGAATCGAACCTGGGACCCTTCAGTCCGCAGGCCGACGCTCTATCCACTGAGCCAAACCGGTTTCGGCTGGGTGCATTTGTTTTAACTTTTTTTGTATTACCTTTCTATTCTGAGTTCAATAAATAGTTTCATAATTTCAAACTTCAATGTTTCTAATTTACACCTTTCTTTACTATATTTTACGAAAAAGGTAGAAACATTAATACATATATCTTTCTGTTTAATTGCTATTAAAATTTAAAAAAATTAATTTCCAGGTGGCGCTGAGTAATATTTTTTCTGGAAAGGGGGCGGTAGGCCAAATAAGTTTGGGAACCACTGCTGTAGAACCTCCAGAAAGGAGCACAGCCCTGCTGACACCTTGATTTTAATGCAGTGAGACCCAGGTCGAACTTCTAACCTGCAGAACTATAAGATAGTAAGTTTGCCCTGGTTGAGCCACTGTGTTTGTGATAATTTGGTATAGCAGCAATAGAAAACTAATAAAGTAATATAGTCACACGATTCAAAATTGAAAGTGCAAGATAATATACAATGACAAGCCTCCTCTCACCCTGCCCCCACCCACCTGGTTCCCCTCCTGAAGTGTACCCTCTGCTACCAATTCCTTGCTATGTCCTTCCGGAGATATTTTATGGATATATAAGTGAATAGGACCATATTCCCCCCTTTATTTTATACACATGGTAGCATACTGTACATACTGTTACACAGTTTTAACCCAACAATATGTACTAGACCAGCGGTCGCCAACCTTTCGGACCTCACAGACCACCAGTGGTCCGCGGACCACCGGTTGGCGACCACTGCTCCAAAGGTCTCCTTAACCTAGCAGTCGCCAACCTTTCAGACCTCACGGACCACAGGCTGGTGACCGCTGGACTAGAGGATTTTCTTTGCAGCTTGTTCATTGTTTTATTTATGGTGTGAACAACAAGAAGAGATTCTATGGAAAGTAACCTCGCAGGGAGATCTGATCATAAATTCCTAAACAGACAGGTCAAGGTGGGTAGTCATGCGTCCGGCCTATAACTTCTTTAGGAAAAGGTTTATCTTTGCCTTAAGCAAGCCCTGTCCCTTGTTTCTGTGCACCTAGGTTAACACATCTTTGAAATGTCTCTTTTCAGACCCTTCAAGGAAAACCACCCCCAAGAGAGCACATCATCTTTAACTGTCCTGTAACCCAGTCCCCACCTGCTTTCTCCCACCTGGAGATCATCTTCCTATGTTTTCTCCTTAATTCCCAATGCATCAAAACAGCTGCAAGCTGCCATTCTGAGAAGCATTTTCTCAGTCTGCTGAGACCTTGCTTCCAGGCACAGCCTCTGTTATCTGTCTCACTGGCGGTACCAGGAAACTGACTTCCTCGTATTAAGTGCACTTCGTGTATTTCTAATACGATGACTTTCCTGAAAGTGTAATTTGTTAGTTCTGGCTTTTAAAAGGTGACATATAAATAAATTTCATAACTTATTTTTTTAAAAATTAAAATTTTCCACAGGTTTGGAAACTTTTACATTGACAATGGTTCCACGGCATTCCTGACCATGAGTATTTAGCCAGTCTCTTCCTGAGGTCTATTCGCAAGTGTCACTGGACCCAAGTTTGTGTGTTCAACGCTTCAAAAGGCCAAAACTCAAAATGTCAGAGTTTGGAGTAAGGGAATGTTTATTGGTCAAGAAGACGACAACCAAGAAGATGGGAGACCTCATATTGGCTCAAACTCATCTTGCTCAGTGGACTAGGTTAAGGGTTTGTAAACGTGCTAGTGGGGCAAGTTTTAACTGGGGAACCTTGGAGCTTGGCCGTTTATGGTAAGGGGTGACAACACCAGAAATTCCTCGACATTGGATCCTTCGCCTCTGAAAGTGTCCAGCGGTCAAGTTCTGGTTATCTCCCATCTTTGGTTCTGTGGAGGGGCCGGGGGTTGGGGGGGTGCAAGACTTTAGTTCCGGGGGCAGCTGGAGGTCAAAATTCTCTTTTCTGCGCATGCTTCTGCTGCATGACTTGCAGTTTTGTTCTGTTGTCTCTGAAAAGCAACTCCATATCTTGTTAAACTGCTGGTTCTGCGGTTACACAAGCTTTCCTATCACAAACAATGCCGGGTGAATAAGTAACCTTGAACTTGCAGCATGGTGCACAGGACTAAGTCTTTCTGTGGGACAAATTCAGGAGCCGTCCGCGATCCTTCCTTCCCTTCATCCCCATCCACTTCGGTATCCCGTCCTGTGGGTTCTAGCTCCAAAACA